ACGAATTTTTTGGCCTTGAGCTTAGAGAGACAAAGTTGTAGAGAATTGAATTTCCATCAAAATGGGCTTTCATTGACTATTTTCTTATGAAGTATGTGAAATTTATGCTTGGTCAAAGTTCAATTGACTTCTCCTAAAGAAAACCCTAATTTAGTAATTTTTTACTTTTGATAAATCTTGAGGTTTCTTGATGAATCGTGATCAACCCTTGATCAACTGATGAACATGACTTCAAAATGTTGATGCTGACCAAAAATTGTGAAGTTTGACTGTAAATTGGTCAGAGTTGACTTTTTGCCCAATATAGTTGATTTTCAATCATTTGACTATTTGACTGAGAAAACTTGTGCTGCAAGGCTTGAAACTTGGCATGAGGATACCTTGAAGCATATAGAAACCATGACCCTAGTTTTAGGCCACTGCTTAGGAGGAGGATTCGTATGATCATTTCTTGAGTAACTTTGAGTGTGTGAGACCCTTAGGAGCATGGGGAGGTATCTTGAATCAATTTGTCTTGAAAATGAGAGGTAAAATTTTGGGTTACAACAGTGATTTTCTCACATTCATTGTAATAAATATCACTTAGAAGAATGGTTCTTTCTTTGTAGTGATTTCTGCATACTTTCTTCTTTGCTTTTATCATTGCACTTCTTGCAATCTTCTGACCTTTATCTACTACTGGGTGAGTGTAGTCATCAAATACCAAATCCCATAGATCCAAGTCATAAACCAGAAAGTAACTTTTGACTCTATCCTCCCAATAGTCCAATTTCTCCCCATGAAACATAGGAGGTTTTGAACTATAGTGATCTCTATCATTATCCCTATTATCAATAGTGTAACTAGGTGTAGCCATTGGTTTTTCACACACACTGAATCGGTACTAAACACTGTTAAGTGTTGATAAAAATATAAACTTTTTATCTCCTTAGAACCAGAGCTCTGATGCCAATTGAAGGTGTGAAAAACACATGAAAGTCGGGGTTTGAATTGGGTTTTAAATCAAAACTTTTCTTTAAAAAAAATTTCCCTTTAAAAAAAAAATTTTCCTTCACTCTTGATAATAAAAATAATTAAGAACAGGAAGTAAAGAACAAGGTATGTTTATACTAGTTCACTTGAAAACTATCAAGCTAGTGTAGTCCACCTGCCAAGGTGTTTTACCTCTCTTAATCGAGGACTTGATCCACTATAACAAAACTGATTACAATTTGCACAAACTACCCGTAAGTGACTAAGAACCTCTAAGACACACAAGTCCTAGACTTCTGAAGGATACAGACCTAACCGTTCCCTTAAGGAAAATCAAACAATAATCAAACAGATTATTACAATGCTCAAGCTACCCACAATTGACTAACAACCTCTAAGACACACTAGTCCTATACTTCTTAAGGATACAGACCTAACCGGTCCCATAAGGAAATCAAACAATTGTTTGAATGCAAGTTTTGCTTACAATGATATTGCTTCTACACAGGCTGAATATGTAAACTATTTTAAGAACAATGACTTAAGAATATGAAAGCTATGTGCAATGTTCTGTGCGTAGATATTTCGTTAATTTTGCTTTCTCTCTTAGTCTTCAAGCCTTTATATAGCCATTAAAATAATATATACATTGAGGGGTACTCTTGGGATTTCCAAAAACATTGGTGGCTAGAGAAATAACATGGGGGACAAGATCGTGCAACGAGTCCGATATTTCATGGTAGTTAAATGAAATGTTAATTGTAACATGTATTATTTGTACCATGTTAACATTATCTTCTTTCCTTCTGCACTTTAGAGGCTTCTGTGAGCATGAGTTTAGAAGAGAGAACATAACACAAGGTCATCAGAACTTCAAGTCTTCAGAGTCTTTAGAATTGTGTCTTCAGAGTCTTCAACACTTGGTTGTGAGAACCTTTTCTTATAACATTGGGTCTTTAGAACTTCAATTCCTCAGAGTCTTTAGAACTTTGTCAATTAGAATCTTTAGAACTTGGTCTTTTAGAAACCTTTGTCTTTATAAACATTATTCTTTAGCATCTGGACTTAAGTAGAAACTTCTGTCTTCAGATCTTCTGACTTGTTTCTTTATAACACGTTGTCTTCAGAAACATGATTCTTTAGCATCTAGACTTCAGTAAAAACTTATGTCTTCAGATCTTTCGACTGGTTTCTTTAGACTTCATATCTTAGCATACACTTCATAGTCTCCTGGAGTGTCTTTCTACTGTTCATCAGAACTTGTGTAGCGCAAAAGTGGAATTAATTCTCCTCTAATGTCTTGGCCACGCCATCCAGCAGAAGCGGAACATGTTTGTTAAATACTCAAAAATAACAAACATTAGAGTATCAAAATTGTTTATACAAACATACTCATTTGTTATCATTAAAACTCAGATAATATTGCAGAACCCAATCTTGTTCTTACAACAGTTCAGCACACCCCTCCTCTTTTGTAACTAGTATGAAAATAATAATATAAGTCAGCAAGTAAAGAAGGAGTTGGGTCCACACTTAATACTTTCACAGCCCAAAACACACTAATAGCTGCAGGATCTATATATTCCAAAGTATGCGGGAAAAAAATCACACCAAAGACAAGCAACCCTAAGCAATCAACACAAGACTCCTATTTTTTCTTGTTGGAAAAAGTAAGAGCTTTAGCTTCCAAATAGTGTCTTTTAATCCCTTGTACTTCACCATATCTTTTGTAATTGAGTGAAAAATCAGCAAATGGTATCCCTAATCCTCTTGCCAAATATCTAACATCAACAGTCTGCTCAACCCCCACATAAACCTTACTTTTAGAAAAATCCAAGGTCCTATCAAATTCTTCCAAAGTTGGTGCTAGTTGAAAATTTTAAAAAGTAAAACACCTTAGCGGAGGATCATAGAACTGAACTAAGGCAGTGATAGCATCCACTTGTACATTTATTTCAGTCAACTAAAGGGTATCCCTATAGCGGCGGGAAAACATCTTCACAGCTTTTTCAGGCAGTTTCTCCTTAATGATTTGTAATTTCTTCATATCTGGCTTGACGGCGCTAATACGAACAACTTATTTCTCATCGGTGTCCATTTTTAAGATACTCACCAAAACCATTAAATATTTTTTTTAGAAATCCTGTGAATAAGACAACAAAAAAATGCAAAAATAATGAATATTTTGAAATGTTAGATGTATTTATGCACGGTGATGTAACACGATAGTGGGATTTTGTGAAAGGTATCCTTAGTTAGTAGGTTCCTAGTTTTGGCCTACGGATGTTCTACCCTCTCAAAAGGTGGTTTCCTTAAGGGTATCATGGATAACACCAAAGGGTAAAGGCATAAGGGTCTCCCTTAGGCGGAGCCTCGATGCAGACCAAAACATGAGTCTCTTAGGTCGTTCCAAAGACCTAACCCCAAAGAGTATATCCCCTTAAGAGATATTTCTTTTTAGGAATTCCACCAACTCTAGGCGAAGTTGTCGCAAAAACTCATAGGGATATTAAACCTCCTTGGCCAATTGACAGTCCTTCTTTCAAAGGTTTAATACCTTTTTTTTATAATTTAAATCCCACAACAACAAAATAATCATGATAATAGAAAATAATATGAAAAAATAAATTAAACATATAATCAAATACAGAAACAAAATAAACCAACAATAGAAAATATCCAAAAAACCTAGACCTAAAAAGAAAAACTCTAAACCCTACGGTTGTGTCCCCAATAGAGTTTCCAGTTGTTGTAACCGATAAAAAATAATAAGTCGCCACCACTAATTTTTATCCTAACGACAGGTGAATAATGGATAAACCTAATTTAATTAAAGATTCTAAGTTTGTGAGTCATTTTTGATGAGGGGAATGTGTTAAGGACCCTTCATCTACCTTGTTCTCAAGGAAGTCCCAATTTTTATGTCTAAGGGTAGAATATGGATTTCAGAGGTAATTTGTTCCTATATATTAAAGAAAATTTTTTAATGTTTTAAAAGTTGGAATCACCTTGGTTTTAATGTTTCAAAGTCCAATTTCGTAGTTTGTAAGTGTTTGGTTAGTTTTTTTATGGGTTGTGGAAATGTTTGAAATTAATCCTTGAACCAAGTCTGGGTTTGAAAATAGCATAGTCGTAGACACAACTCACAGTTAATGAAAAATAGATCCACAATCATTTTCTGAAAATAAATATAATTTGAAATTAAGTTAGTAAAAAATATGTTAGTAATTGATGTGTTAGCTGTTTTAGAGTTAAAAATGCAATATGTAAAAAAGATAGAGTTTGAATGATAAAGGTATTTGATAAATATAAAGAATGGTTAATATTACAAAACAGTTAATAAACAAGTATTTTCTTAGTATTGAAAATATATTAAATATTTTTAATATTAATCCAATATTATTTATTAAAAGATTTAAATGCAAAATATTTTTAATGTAAAAAATGTTGATTATAATAAATAAATGAAATGACTAAACAAAATAAAATATAAATCAAAATTAATTAAATTAAACAAAAACAAATTAAATAATTAATTTATAAAACAACGGCATATTTTGAATTGAGGTGGTAATTATGGGAGGTGTAGGGAGCGATGGGCTGGAGCTTATATATTTTATTCTGGGTCCAAGAACACAGGGGGGGTACGAATTGCAATTTAAGAAAAGTAAGAGAATAAATCGGGGGGGTGAATAGAGAAGGGCTTGGGCCCATAATGAATTTGTGGAGACTTGTTTGACTCGTGTATGGGAGAGGACACGAGCTTTTGGTGTACGGAGATCATAGGGAGCATATGATCTAAATCAAACAGCTATAAAAAAGGCGGGCTTTGAAGCATTAATTTAAAGCAAAATGGACGCATGGTTATGACTGACGTTTGACTGAGGGAGCATGTGGAATGCAATGTAGGGGATTTCTGTTCAGCAACCCAATCACAAGGCCTGCTGGTGGCCACGTGTCGTAATCCGGTTAACATCACAGAGGGAGTATATTTTCATTTTTTCTTCACATTTTATCTCATTTTTTCCATTCACCCTCTCTCTATACTTCTCCTTCATTCTTTCATTCTCCCTCATACACCTTCTTTCTAACAACAACCACCAAACACCCATACAAATGCCGCGACAGGTTATCTCTAGTTGAAGATCAACCGCAGAATTTAAATCTTCAAGCAATACAAACCCAGATAAAACCTGAATCGTGCAATACCAAAACCATAACCCCCAACTTTTCACAGAAATCAAATAAATCAACAACATCACGGCAATCAAAGGCTAAGTGCTCGGATCACCTCACTTGAAATGATATCCTTCTTCTCCTCTATTTCTGGTCTCTAATCCCTCTCCTTTGCTCTATTTCAGGTTCGAAGGTAGAGGCTCACCGGAGCTTGCAGATCATAGCTGCCACAAGAGCTTGGAAGATCTAGGTTTTCAATTTTGAAACCCAGATCTTCAAACGAGAGTCTTTGATGTCAGGAGTGGATTTGTGATTCAAGCAGTTGGGTCTCAGAATCCACCTTCATCTCCTTCTCCTTTCAATTTTTCTCCCCGTCTCTCTTAGAATTTAAAGCTTTATATAGTTTTAGGTTAGAGTTAGATTAGGAAATTATGTTATGTAATTTGCTGTTACTTGTTAGTGATTGATTCTGATTGAATCAATCTTAAGATTTGATTATAAATTAGGTTTTAGATTTGTTGTAAATTGATTTAGAAAGATTTTGTTTGAAATTAGGGTTTTGTAATCCGTACATGGAACTTGTTATTGTGTAGATTCCTTTTCATTAAATAAAAACAAGTATTGATTTCCAGATTTGATTTAATCCAAGATTTGATTTGAAAATAGTTTGGATTCAATTGTTTGGGTTCTGGGATTGGGTATCTTGGGGAAAAGACAGAAAGTTGACTCTAGTAAATAACAAAATGAAATTAAACGAACTAGACAATTTATAAAACAAAACATATCAATTTTGAACATGAGCCTCTTTGACAAAAAATAGACACATCCCCTGTTAAAGTTTAAACCCCCATCGTATCTAAACAAAATCCCCAAAACAAGGAAATAAAAACAATATAACCATAAGTTAAAAATATAATAATTCCAAGACTAAAATAAAAATCTTATTAATTTTTAAATGGGGAAAATTTGGGGTATGACAGTGTGGCATTATTTAATCAGGCTCTAATCAAGTTTTGATTTTTCATCTAATGCTGATAGAAACCAAACTCTGAGATGAAGACTATACATTCTAGTCAAACTCTGATGAGTTGTTGTAGGGAAGTGTTACTTCTCTATTCTTATGTTTTGATACTCAAAATTTATTTTGTGAGTCTTGGACTCAAGGGGAGACTCTAAACAAGCTTAACAAATTTAGCTGGAGCTAGGAGCTTAACTTTGAATTTGTCAATTACGGTAATTAACCGATATAAATTATTCTACCTTAGAGAAATATTGTATACACTAATGATATCTTCTAGTGTGTAGCTGCTACTTTAATGTTCTGACTCTGGTACAAGGAGTGTGTTGTACCCTGTGATACGGTGGCAGAACCGATTTTTTTTATTGGTTTTCATTTTTTGTTTTTTGTTCGCAAAATGTCGCGGTAAGCAAGAGTTGCCACCGACTTTTATTTAATCCAATCCGGAAAAGGAAAAAGAACAGAAAAAACCTTTTTTGAGAATATTTCTGAGTACGGGAGGTAGATTATAGAAAGGGAAGGTGTTAGCACCCTTTCTATCCATGGTTTTCCATGAGCTCTTAGGTACTTACTCATCTTTTTAAAATTTCTTGTGTGTGCTTGTTTTGAAAAAAAAATTTACTTCGTCATAACCCTTGTATCAGTCCTCAAGGGTGTGACGATGCTTGTTTTGAAAATTTGTTTTGAAAGGTGTTTGTGTGAAAAGTTTTGTTGAGCAAGTACTTAAGATTCTACCTACTCGAAAAAAGGTTGTTTGTTATCATTTCCTTTAGATAGCGTTATCCTACTATTAAGGAGTAGGTAGCCCCTTCGTTGGAGTTTGTAAGGGATGTTCGAAAGGGACAAGTACAATCACCAGAGAAATGGGTAGCAAACCTTAGTAGTAACCCTAGAGTCTTAAGATCTTTCTGAGGCAACATTTCTGAGGCAACATTTCCGAAGCAACATTCGAATGGGACATTTGATCTTTTAGACAGGAGGGCAACCACTAAAATCTCGTATGCTTAAATGACTATTTTACCGAAGGTAACCGAAGTGAGGCAAACCATAGGATTTAAATATATGTGCACGTGATTTTTCAGTTAATTAGTCTTTGCACATTAAGTGAGCTACCATTTTAATTTTCAAACATCTTTCCATACAATCCTATTAACCATGCATCTAACAGTTAAAGATTGCGGAAATTAAAAGTGCGAGAAAATAAACCTAGCTATTACAAGTCTTCGGGGATAGAGATTAATTACATAACCAAAATCGGGGACAAAGCGATAAATGAAACCCCTAGTTTAACTATTACAAACCATTGGCAGTTACAAAAATATGAAAAGAATTAATTAAACGCGCGGTGAATAAAATGTGAGGACGCTTAAAAAAAACCTAAAACCCTAATTGAGAGAAAAATATTTTTTGTACATTTTTATTTGAGAAAAGAATTTAATTGCACATTAATTAAAACCCTAATTTCTAATTGCTTTTAATTATGAAAAAAAGAAATTAAATTAACATATATTTCTAATTAAATTAAAATAAATATTTTATTAAAAAAATGCTTTTTTGGTGTTTTGTGATTTATTGATTTTATGATTAATAAAAAAGTAATTAATTTGGTGAAAAATAATTAAACAAAATAATTAAAATAAAAGAAATAAATAAATAAAAGAAAATGGGCCTGTGTTGAATAGAAAATCTGGGGGTGTGAGGAATTGAATTTGTTGGGCCCAAGACTGTTGGCCGACCTTCCTGCGTGAGATCATGTGTAGCGCTCTCCTGATGGTACACCATGCTTCTCCAGGCTTGAAGCATTAGATCTGAAGAAGCTATGATCCGTTGGTTGGAAGTGACGGCACATGATAGGCGCTCGAGCGTGTGATGCACTGAATCTGCAAAGGCAAAATAATGCAAAGTAAATTGTTGGGACCTGGGATCGAACTCAGGTCCTTATGCTTACCACTAGCGCGCTCTTCCATTGTGCCAATTTGTTTAGTTGCCATTATAATGAAACAAAATATAATATAACAAAATAAATGAGTTAGTGGGAAACGCGCGCGAGATTTCAAATGGTCCACTGATTGGCTGCCACCTATTCTTCTTCTCCAAGGCTCCGTCGTCTTAGCTATATACCTTTTACCTACAGTCATGCATTTGTAGCTATAGCCCTGTCACCTTTAAAAACTCATAAAATGCATGATAAATGAAATTGTAGACCAGAATCCAATTGGTCTTGATGTCATAATCATCATGGTATCTTGTTCATGGCCTGATTTTAGCTGTATGCAAAAACAATAAAAGACACATAGAAAACCTAGCAATGGAAAATCTAGATATAGGCATCAAAAATACAATTGAATCATAAATTCATGTTGCAAACATCTCAAACATCACAAATATACCAATTAAACATGCTAATGATGAAGGAATTACAGTAATCGGTTTTGGAAAAAAATGCAAACCGTGTGAGTTACAACTTGCGTTTCTTGATGCTTCAGACCTTGCAAATGATTGGGATAGCTTTAGAAACTCCCAAGGAATGTCGTTTGATCCTTAGAACGCTTTGAACTGTCCTGTGGAGCAAGATTTGATCTGCACTTTTCTTTGAAAAATTAGATTTTGTTCTGCCTTTTTACGCCTTTCAACCTTGTTCTATCCTTGGTTCTTGTTCATTATATATGCTAGAGCGAATTAGGGTTGCAAAAACAGATGATATCTTAGGAATTTTGGAAGATTTGATTTGATTATTCATCCATATGCAAACCTTCTATATTGAGCCAAATCATCCCATTTTTGTACCAATCATGCTTGATTCGATTTGGTCTTGATATCTCAGCATAATTTGATTGAGATCATGTCCAAAAATCATATCAAAACATATATTTGATATTATTTACCAATTATTTGATTTTATTCAATTTTTAATAAATAAAAAATCAAAATAAAATAAATAATGAAGCAAATAATATGTGAGTGAACATTTGGGTCGTGGACCATGCTACAAGTGAGGTGCAATCATGAAATGCTAAGCCCATTTGGTAAAAAAATGCACTTTTGCAAGAAAGGTCAACTTTGACAAGGCATATCTCCTCCAATTTTAACCCTAGAGAGGTGTTCTTGGACTTTGTATAAAGCTTAGGATGTCCCCTAAGCAACACTTTTGGTCTCATTTCAATTGGGTCTACCTTGTTCATGTAAGAAGCTTTGACCCAAAAAGTGTTTTTGTTTACTTTTCAAAAGGGCCTATAATGTGGAAATTCATATCTTTTTATTAGTGAATATTTTGAACTTGTGGGATGAAGATGAGTTGTAGGGAATTTCTCCTCTTCAAAATGAGTCTTGGATAGAAAATTTCTGATAAAGTATGTGGAAGTTATGCTTGGTCAAAGTTTGGTTGACTTTTCCTAAGAAACCCTAATTTAGCAACTTTTGGGTTTTGATGAATTTAGGGAATTCCTTGAAGAATCATGATCAACTCTTTATCATATGATGGATATCACTTCAAAATGTTGATGTTGACCAAAAATCTTGAAGTTTGACTGTATGTGGGCCACAATTGACTTTTGACCTAATATAGTCGATTCTTAAGCATCTGAGTTGTTGACTGAGCAAACCTCTTGTGCAGTGCTTGAAATTTGACATGGAGGGTATTGAGAACATATTAGGACCATGGAGGGCATATGAAGTCTTTGGAGTTCACCTATATTGATGAAAATGGAAACCCTAATTTGAGACACACTACCTTAGGAGAGAGTTTGTCTGGTCAACTCTTGGGAAAACTTGAGCAAATTAAGGATCTCTAGGAGTATGTATTGAGTAAATTGAGAGAGCAAATTTTGGGGTACAACATCTGCCCCTGTTCAATCTTCTTAAACCTGAGGATGTAGATTGGCTTGTCCGCCTTTCGTGATCTGAAGGTGGCAGATGATTGAACACTAGAGTGCCCAGAAATTTGCACTCGCATGAAGTGATACTTGATTTGTGATATCAGGAATGGGCTTATAGATGCCATTTGGAATTTTCTAGAGAATTGTCAGAGATGGGCTTAAATATTCCATCCAAGATGTGACGGAGTATCGTCGGAGATGGGCTTAAAGATGTCGTCTAAAGGATGTTGA